GCACAAGTATACATATGTAACAAACCTGCACGTTATGCACATGTACCCTAGAACTTAAAGTATAATTAAAACAAACAAACAAACAAACAAAAAAACACAGCATAGTGCTGAATAAAAATTGTAATTCCCATTGTCAAAAAAAATAAAAATAATAATAAAAAAAGATATTGTGGATATGGCAAAAACACAAAAGGTGGGACAAAGTGTTTCAAGAAATAGATCTTGTCAAAATTCAAGAGCGACTAGACACCACGCCAGAGGAATTAACGGAAGATGACTTGATGGAGAAGAATGCTTCTAAGCCAGGATCAAACAATGAGGAAGAAGACATAGAAGCAACAGTGCCAGAAAACAAGCTGACATTAGACAGTCTGGCAAAAGGCTTCTGACTATTCGGTACTGCTTTTTAACTTCTTTTATGACATAGGCCCTTCTATGGTATGATACAGGCACTAAAACTAAAACAAATGATAGAAGTAAGAAGGGGCACCATATAGAAACATTTTTAGAGAAATGAACAAGCAAAAAAGTCAGACAAAAATTGAATGTATTTCTGAAAAGTTACACCGACTGTGCCTGTCTCTTCCACCTTCTCGACCTCTATCTCTTCTTTCTCTGTCACCCCTGAGACAGCAAGACCAACTCCTCCTTATCCTCCTCCTCCTTAGCCTACTTAGCATGAAGATGATGAGGATAAAGACCTTTATGATCATCTAATTCCACTGAATGAACAGTAAACATATTTTGTCTTCATTATGATTTTCTTAATACCATTTTATTTTCTCTACCTTACTTTCCTGCAAGAATATGGTAAATAATACATATGACACATGGAATATGTGTTAATCAACTGTGTTGTTGGCAAGGCTTCCAGTCAACAGTAGGCTATTAGTAGTTGAGTTTAGGGATGTCAAAAGTTATGCATGGACTTTCGACTGTTTGAGGGGACAGCACTCCAAACCCCTGCATTGTTTAAGGGTCAACTATATGCAGTATTATGTAAGTATATATGGGAAATGATCAGCAGGATTATTTAATGAGTGACTCTAGAGGCCCAGGTTACCTAGGAATGAGCTAGCTGGCACGAGGACTCATCTCAGTCAAAAAAAAAGAGCTGTACACATCCTCCAGGTCTCAGGGGTAGTGTCCCCAGCCTTCCCATTACTCCCCAAAACAGCTGGGTCAAACTGCTTAGCTTCTGGGCACAAATATTCATTTCTATCACCATTCCCAGACAACGTCTCCCATACACACATTACACAATCACTCGTATTCTTGTTAACCAGGATGAAGACCCTCTACAAGAAATAGTCCTGTTACATCTAGCTCAACTCCACCTAAGCATGCCTCTGCACCTGCTGTCTCTCATGCCCAGGAGCCACAGTCTTTGCCAAGTGACACTTGCTGGCTTTTACCTCAGTTCACTAATTCACTGTGTGATATAGGGAAAAGTCACTTCCTCTCCTTTTGAGCCAGTTTCTCCATCTGCAAAATAGATTCAATAGTCTAAAAATCTCTTTCAACTTTAATTTTTATCAAACACTTTTTGTGTCCCTAATAAGGTGTGATCATAATCATAATGTTTCATGATGATATAATGGAATTATACATAATTATATATATAGTTATACTATATTATGTATTAATGTATTATATAATTACATATTATGGTACCATATATAAATATAATTATTTATAAATATAATTATTTATAAATTATATTTATTTTTATTAATAAATAAATATAATTATTTTTATTAATATAATACTTAATATTGATTATATTAAATAATATGACATGTTGATTATATACATAATCATGTATTTGTGATCATTTTACATAACTATAATTATATAATTTTAATTGCTACAATTTTTTAATCTCCTATCATACGTCAAAACATTTTTCCTCTTCCATATCCCCCATCACCATTCACCTAATAATAGTAATTCATTCTTCGAGCCTGTCTCAGGTTGGTTGTCAGTTTCTTCAGGAAGCCTACTCCAACTTTTCTTAGCCTGAGTTAGATGCCCCTATTCCTCTCATAGTTCCCTGTATTTTTCCTGTTGCAACACTTATTACGTTATGTTGGAATTGCTTGTTTAGTTGTTGATTACTCCAAAAAAGAGTATAAACTCCATGAAAGGAGGATGATGGATTGCTTTGTTGCTCTGCATATTGCCAACACCCAGAAGAGTGCCTGGCACATAGTAGGCACACAATAAATATTTGTTTAATAAATAATTAATGCTAGGCACTTTAAATTGGAAAAAACTAGCACAGTAATACAAAGACCAATGTTAACTAAATCAGTTAACTTGCACTTCCTTTCTTAAACGTCGTTATAAAAAGGAGGAAGAAAAGTGAAACTGACTGTGCTAGAACAGTGCCGTGCTTTTCTGCAGAAGGTTAGACCCTGAGAGAGATGGCTCAGCACCACCTATGGATCTTGCTCCTTTGCCTGCAAACCTGTGAGTTCTGACCCTTGCTGATCCCCTCCTGGTTTTCCATAAAGTTTTAAAAATTGCCCTTAAGGAAGATATTGAACTGTCTTTTTGATCTGTATTTAACAGAATATCCTGGGTCTCAGTATCTACTGTACTCAACAGGATCCAACTGGCTGGGGAGAGACTTAAAATTAAAACCTAAGTGTTTTTCAGCTTTAAAGTTTATATTTCTGAGTTTTATTTAGTTTTGGAGATCTCAGTTTTCAAAAGTCTGAGGCAAAACCTTCTCAGAGGAATCAGCACTTGGTAAACCCACCCACAAAGCCTGGCAAAAGAAAGATCATCTAAAAGCTCAAATGACTTACAAGTAGTCTCTTCTTAGCACTCAACTGTGATGGTGTTTGAGGGAGAAAATGTCTTTCCTAATTATAGTTGATTGTTCTATCAGGTTAGAGTGATGGATGACTCATCATTATCATTGTTGAGCTTCATCTCTATAAACTCCCTTTATTTTCAAAACACAGTTAGAGCTATTACTCTGCTTTTATCCTCAAGAAAGTCTAAAATAAATGAGGAAGAGATTATTATCCCATTTTTTACAAATAGTCTCAAAAAAGAATTGGAGAACTTGAATTTAAAACCCTATTTTTCTCATTTATGGCATAAGAGTAAACTAAAAGAACAACATGAATATTGATTGTTATTGGTACAAAGGAAATTATAACAACACAGTTCTGGGAGTGCTGTGTCATTGTACATATTATCTCATTAAATACAAACAACTGCTCTGTCTAACAGAAATTTACTATGTTTGAAACTTCTAAATCTACTTCTAGTATCTCTTGCCAGTCCTGAAAATGCACTAGCAAAATTCTGGCGTGAGTTAGAACCCTGGGAACCTAGTACATTAGGATTTTCTGAAAAAGGTAAAATCAATGCACCGTGATCTCTCTGGTTCCCTTGGCCATTTCAAGCTATGGCTCCTTTAATTTGAACTTCATGGAGATTGTAATCACTAGTCAGACTAAATTTTTGGAGCCTCTGAAATGCAAGTAGGTGAGGAAAAGTTGGTACTAGGGATGTCCTTAATCTTCCAGAGAGAGATTAGACAAGGTAGCATTTGATACCACTTAATTTGCAAAACATTCTATGATGTTTATGCCTACATTTTCATGTTATCCATATGAAAACAATTGAGATGGGAAAGATAGATGTTATTAATCCCATTATGCAAGAAAAATAATAAACTTAGATTTAGGAGTTAAAAAATTCACCTGAAATTTCACTACCTAAATTGGTAGAGCTGGAAATATACGTTGGTTTTTCTAATCCCAAGGTTAATCCCAATCCCATTGGACCTTCTTTCTGCTCCACCTGACCTCTTCACTCATTGCTTTCAAATTCTTGATGCTCTTCAAAAGGTTAATACCTGCTAAAATAAAAAGTAGCTCTAGGATACACTTCTTTCATCTACCGAAACTGAAATAAAGTTGTCAAATCAGCTAGTAGTGAATTGCTTATGAGTTTTGTGACCTAGAGGAAGTTATATTCCTCCTCTGACTCTTGTTTCAGCTTCAAAATGGGGAGGGTATTAATACAGTAGAATTGTTTTGAGAATCAAAATGATGATAATGCATGTATAACACTTGGCATAGTACCTAAATATATTAAATGCTTAACAGATATTAGCTAATGCTGCTGTTTTTCACACTCGCTTTTCATGCATTATTAGGAAGAGCCATGGCTTTACCCCACAGAGATCCTGGGCAGGACTCCTCTGTCAGGGAATTGTCCAAGGAACATAAACAGGAGAAAAGGTGGTGGGAGTTTGAGCTTAGGTGTTGGTTTATCGGGGTTCTGGAAAAGGAAACTAGGAGTGAGATACTCATTTCATCAAGGATCCATGAAAGGGGAATGGGAGCTTGTTTTATAAAAGTAAAGCCAGGAGTACTTTTTACATACTGTCCACCTTTACTGAGTTATCTGTTTGCCTCTTCAGGATTATTCTGAAAACTTTTCTGAGCATAAAAATACACTTGAATTCCTCCTGCTGCTGTTACTGGTAGAGGTAGTCCCTTACATTCAGTATTGGCCTTAGGAGTCTACACTTTATGCATTTCCCTGGAATTCAGAGCAGTTGAAGAGGCTGAGAAGCAGTGGAGAGATGCAGGGAGAAATCCCCATTTCCCCTCAGAAATCACCAACATAAGGAAAGTCTGAGTGTGCAAACTTATGACTGTTCCATGTTGGAAAAGTTTTCTCTGAGTCAAAATTCACAGTCTTATGCTCTGATGTCAACTTTCTGATCATGACTTTGGAAACACCATGACTCTGTCTCTCCACATACCCTAGGAGACACTCCCACTCTGAGGGTAGGAGATGGAGGAGTCCACCAGTTTTAATCCTTGCCCATCCACTCTACATATTCTGTCTCACACTCTTAAGTCTTCCTTTTCTCTACCCCATTCCTATTTCTATTTCTTCAACTCCCTGTCTTGTCTCCCATCAGTAATAGTAATAAATAACCATTTATGGAGCAATCACTGCATATTTGGCATTACTCTAAGTAGTCTACAGTTATTATTTTGTTTAATCCTTACAACACACTATGAGATAGGTACTGTTTATGTGTGCGTATACAGATGAAAGCATTGATACACAGAGAGTCAAAGGTCATTTAACCAAAGAGTGAAAGAAGTAGAATTTAAACTTCAGAGTCGTTAGACTTAACCTCTGAGTCATGCTGCCTCCACCCACTTTGATGCTGAAGTGGAGTAAATTACTCTCCCCACTATTAATATTTGGGAATATGGCAGCAAAGAGTGATGATTTATTTAGTTCTGTCAAGACAGGATTATTTGGATAGAAGCTGTGCCTTTCTCTATACTCACCCATAGAGGAGGAAGGAGCTGCTGGCAGGTCCTTGCCAATAACAGAAGTTTAGGCAGGGCAGTGAGGCAGAATACCCAAGCAAATAACCATCTCCAGACATGTTTCAAATACCATTCACTTTAATATTATTCAAATGTGATTTGAATTAGTTTCTTTAAACAAATGAAAGTTCAATATCAACATGATGTTGATTTCCTGTTGGATGTTGAACATGGTCATGGACATTTCAGCAGTTGAGACTTAAAATTCCAAGAAATGAGTGGACCCACTGTGGGTAACTGCACCCCAACCATCATCCTGGGTCTCAGAGACAGGAAGCATACCTGTGGAAGTATGCTGACAAAACAACCTGCCACTGATCTGAAGTCCTTGCATCGTGGGGTCTTCAAGATAAGGACAAGGCCTCTGTATTAGAATGAGATGTAAGCAGACAACTACCATAGACATTCAGAAAGGGCTCAAAAGCAGAAATCCAGTTATAGAAATGGAAATATATTATATATGGGTAAAACTGGTTATCAAATACCCAGCTTCCAAACGGAGGGTGGGAAGCTGTTCCCCCTGTAATAACTCAGGCCTTCGGTGGAAGGTAGTGGAGGCCTACCTTGTCAGCTCCAACTGCTGAAGCAGTCCTGGAGATCAATATGGAGTCCAACAAGGCAGCCGGAGGACCTTCACAGCAGGAGCCTGATGGTCAGTGCCAAGCCATTCAGGCTACTGAAGTATTCCTAAATCAAACCTTTCTTGTCTTGGACCTTAGGAGAGGGATGGACCTGTAAGTTTGGAGATCACTGGGCTCATCTATGTGAAACTTGGAAGGAGGTATGAGCAATCAGTTGGGGGCTGATATAGGTGAATCTGACTAGGTACTCGTGTTTCCTTTGTTATACTCAATGTTCAAGTGCCCACTAATAGAGGGTAGCAATGTTAGAACAGTGGATGAGCCATGATCTCACGTCTGTTTTGAGATTGTGTGTGTGTGTGTGTGTCTGTGTGTGTGTGTCTGTGTATCTGTGTGTGTGTGTGTGTGTGTGTGTGTGTTTTGAAGGAACCAATTCAAGTAAACCTAAATCCCAATAAAGGTGATATAAAGTAAAACTCCTAGGGGAAAACCACGTACTATTGCATGGGGGTAGTAGGTTCCTTTTTCTTAAAACCTCATGATCAAGGACTTTCCGTTGCTTTGGAGAATGACACAAAATTTCTGGCTGCCCAGCCCTGTGCTTCCTCTTTCCCTCTACATCCCTTCACTCAATGTGAACAGTTATAATGGACTGTCTTCTGGGTACCACATGCTAAAGCTACCTCTGGTCACTCTCCCAGACCTACAATACTCAGCAATGTTCCACCCCCACTTTTTGACTCTAGGAAGCAGTGGGTGGAGAAGAGAGGGAAGTTTAGCTAGTGCCACAAAAAAAAGGACAAGAAATGTTTATCTGGAGGATCCTAAGAAAGTAAGGGGGTAGAAGTGTCTGTTAAGCAACAGTACAGTCTTCCCCATTTCCATTCTTATTAATAGCTACTTGCTGACTTTAACATCTCCCCAATACCCTAACTCTAATATTTCCCTTCATAGTTGTCTGAGGTGTTATTTTAGTCTCTTTGAAGATATTTATTTGTTTTACATAGCAAACACCTCTAGTGCCAAGCATACGCCAGGCACTATTCTAAGAGGTCTACAAATATCAACTCATTTAACCCTCATAATATTTTTATGAGGTCAAATATTGTGCTACTATTACCTTCACTAATGTGCTAATATTACCTTCATTTTAAAGTTAGAGAAACTGAGGCACAGAGAGGTTACTGACTTTCCCTAGGGTTCATGGACGGTCCCTGAGAGAGCCAGGATTTTAGCCCAGGCAGCCTAGGTCTCAGTGACTAATTCATTGTGCCACACAGGTGACTCCACAAGGCAAGGCTCCCCTTGGAACCACTAGACTCTTCTCCATTAGTACACGCACTTGAGAGCACTCTCGTGTCATTTAATCCTCATAATTCCTCAAAGTGGCAGGACAGCTCTGTTTTATTTCTTTTACCAACTAGAACCCTCGGACTTAGCAAGTAAGTGACATTCATGGTCATTTAGCTAGTCAACAACAGACCCTTGACTCAAATGTGTTTCCTAATCC